TTAATTTATCTGTGTATTTATTGAGTATAGTATATTTCATTTCTTTATTTATCTATTCTTAGTGCCACCCCAAAAACCAACTTTCCTCTCAGATTTTCAAAGGTTAGTTGGAAGAAATCTCTTTATGGGATAAGCTCGCCTTTGTACACAAATATTGAAATTGTTTCTGAAAATTTGTAAGTTACTTTGTGGTACAATAAAGTGTTTAAATAAATAAAATAAATATCATTATTTGTTGTAAATCATATATAATAAACATTCTTAACAGTTATCATATTATCATTTATAAGTGATATAGAATGCCGTACATCTTTATGTGCATTGCTGATTCGATGAACCTCACACGCCGAATTTAGGCGACACGTGGCTTATGGGAAGACGATACGAGATTTATCCGGCTCGAAGGACCATAAAGATAGGTGCGTAATGAGTACACTGCGGGGTGGCCGATTATGAACTAAAAATAATTTATAACTAAAAGTCGCATGATACATACAATGTTGCATAAACACAATGTATAGTAATGCACGGTACAGGTACCATGAATAACGATTGCCTGCATAATACTGTGTGACAAATGTATAAAAAAGAAAATCAGAAGTTAAACTTGTATGTTCCAGTTGTACCACGCTATTAAGCAATAAAAAACGATATTATCAAAATCGTTACCAAAAGATACAATCGCGTTCATTGAGACGTATACACATACGATCAGAGACAAGGAGATAAAAATCGATTTCAACGGTTCATTATCCGCGCGCTATGAAGACTTCAAATCGATACGTATCGCTATTGGCTAATCGATACAGATTATTGATTCAATTACTCATACCTTAAGGTACGTTTTATGGAGCAACTATGGAGTCTGAGACAATAGTGTCATTACGAAGATAACATCTGATTGAACTGTGACGACATGTGTACAATTTATTGATTATTATCTTCCGTTTAATGGAATAAATGAAGCGATGTCGAGTTAGTAATAGGTTAACTAAAGAATTAGCTGCCTCCGTGGTTACCATGCTGGACTGCCACGAAGAGGTCCCATGGTTCAATCCCCAGGCCGGGAGAAATATTTGTATAGCCTACATTTATTTCTCTCGTGAGTTTGTTTGGGTGTAATTGGTGATTGTCTATCTATGTGTGTGCCCATGACACCCGCGTTACAGGGTTTCCCAAGGGCGGTGCTAGAATGTGTGCGTTATTTTATTATTTTTTAAAACTAAATAATAAATAAAATGGTTTATTTATTAATGTCACATAAGCCTAATTTGGGGGCTGATTTTTCTTTTAGATTTCACGGGGCCTGTGTTAGGAGACACCGCTTTTTTATATTTAGATAGTCACAATTTACTCTTAATTTGAATTACTTAACTAGTAACTAAAAATAGATTAAAGTACACGTTAGTAGTTAGTGAGATGCCTGTAAGTATATTAAGTATATTACAGCAAATAAGTTTTCGAGTGCCTGCCCGTCGTACCAGACATACGTCTCTATTTCATGTACCATTTCACTGCACAAGCTACGGCAAAAACTCTGTGCTCACAAGATTAGTTACTGGTTACAATAAATATTTCTGTGACGTTGATCCCTTTGTAGATAAAAAGCATTCTTTCCAGTCAAACATTAAAGAATTAATTTTCAAACGCGATGCGTAGATTCACTTAATTTATTTTATTTTGCTCATTTATTTATTCATTTCTTTTATAGTTATAGTTTGCTATTTTTATAATGTTAGAAGTATTTATGATTTATGATTTAGTGTTAAGTTGTATTCATATGTAGGTATAGTGTATAATACTTATTAATATTAGGTTTTATTGTGTATAGTAAGTATTGTTTGTATGTAAGTGTACGTATTTAGTTTACTTTAAAGAGGACTGCCACGCAGAGGTCCCAGGTTCGATTAACTGCCTCGGTGGCCGAACGGTTACCACGCCGGACTGCCACGCAGAGGTCCCAGGTTCGATTCCCGGGCCGGGAGAAATATTTGTATGACCTACATTTATTTCTCTCGTGAGTTTGGGTGTAATTTGTGGTTGTGTATGTGTGTGTCCATGGCACCCGCGACACAGGGTTTCCCTAGTGCGGGGCTATGTTGAGTGTGTGCGTTATTATTATTATTATTAGGTACTTAATTTGTTTCACAATTATATGTATGTATATAATCGGTATAATTATTTATCACGCTTATAGACACCCCGTGCTCTGTTTTTATTTTAATGTATAAATCGAGGATAACTGTTATTGGCTTTGTAATATGTAATTAATTTTTTGTAACCTATCATTATTGCTGTTGTTATCCCAAATAAATAAATAAATAAATATATTTATTAACAATATAAATTATCACTTTTTTTAGGAACTATACTCCGATAATTCCATTGTATTACCCTGGAATCCATTATCATACGGAGATTTATTAAAAATTTTATTCAAAGAGGCAACGTGAGACGGTTTTAAGACATTACTTTTAATTAGCGAGTTGAAGAAATTTAGCAATAGGTCAAGCACTTGGGATTGATTAGATTCTACATCATCTGTTCTAGATGTCAGGGCACAACCATTAGAAGGTGCAGGAATTTGAAAATTTTTAATTAAAGCATTGTGAGCAGCACGGTCATAGCCTTTGGATATTTTTGGAGGAGAACGTGGTTTTAAAAATAAAGTTTTTTATATGACACAGGACTAATATTGCTGGTAGCGGTACTTGGTCTATTAGATTGTATTGCTCTAGAAGGGGCTGTACTTAAAACATCTGCATATGATTTGGAGACAGGAGGGTGAAGTTTACAGACTTCCATGTAAGAGATACAGCTGTGTGCCATGGTGTGGTTAATTTGTTTTTGGCGATTATTTGAATTGATATGTAAGTAGAGAAGGCCACAGCGCACCGATTTCTCCTATTCGCTTAACACTGCCGAGAACAATGTTTTGGATATTATTTTTCTTTAGAAAGTTTCCAAAAGCCATTGGATGCAGAGTAGTTCCACTATTTAGAGAAGATTCTATTCTTTGAACATGAACAACATATGGTTGCACATTTGTAGGAAGGTACTCCTTCCGATCAAAAGATTGTTGTATGGTTTCTGTAGAAACTGTTGGTTGAGTATTTCATACAGGAGGGTGGACAGTCATCGGTTTAACAAAAGTTTGTGGAGAAATGACACTCGATTTGTGGGTGTGGGATTCCTCATTCAGATCAATTGAAGTATTATGGCAAAGACAATATGAATGTTTATTATCAGTTGAATCGGCCTTCTTCTTCCTTCGTTTATCACAATGTCTGCAAATTTTAGGTTGATAACGTCGTTTACGTGATCCTTTACCCATTGAAGCAAAAACACTTGATGTATCCGTGTTCATACCACTCTGATCATCATTTGAAACAGTAACAGTGTTGTTCAAATCATCTGAAATAGTGATATAACTTGCAACAGGGGGATTCAGGCTTGAGCTCAAACCCCCCGCGTCGAAGTTAGGAGGGTTGTTCATACAACGACTGTCAAGTGAAAAAATGTACAAACTTACCATAATTACGGGAAGAAACTAAAAGATTACAGTTATATAACTAACTATTACAAGTATTTACAAACTATAGCCTCAACTGATCAATTATTACAGTAAAAACAAGAATATTTTTTTCCCTTGCAAAAACCTCTCCCGCCTCGTACGAAGTTTCCCGCGCTTTTTAAACAACCAATTTCTAAAATGACGCCACAATGTAAAAACAAGTGACAGATGAAACAAACTATATTCTACAGCCAAAGAGTTCCATTTTCAAATGTTGTAATTACTTTTTAAATATTGTTTATGTAAGTGCCCAGTTCCGGAAACTTATAGTGCGCCCTATGTATCAGACAACATCACATACGTTGCTCTGATTCCAAAGTAAGTAGCTAAAGCACTTGTGTTATGGAAATCGGAAACAACGACGGTACCACAAACACACAGACCCGAGACAATAATTTTGTATCCAAAAGTTAGTTTTCCACACTGATCCGACCAGGATCGAACCCGGGAAGGAGGCCGTCAAATAATATCATCTATTTAGTAGAGTAGCCTTTAGTAGAGTCGTTAGTTAGGTTAGGGTGAAAATAAGCAAAAATAAGTTGCGTCTACTGTAAAATTGATCGATAAAAATTGTATATTTTGAGTGAAAAATCATAAAAGATCGCGTTAAAGTCGAATTCATCTTGATGATGTCGTATATTGCGTTACGTTCCTATTATTAGCATTTGATTGTTATAAAAAGTAAACTTTATTATAGTCGTTCGCAAAATCAGTTGACTCAGAATCGTAATACGAGTTTTTTTTTAGTCCAAGTGACGGGACGAACAATTCATGTGCCTGGTTGTAAACGTCCTATATAATATAATATTTGCAGTGCCAGTCCTAGCTTTCAATCGCATATGTGACGGACACTGCCACTGTTCCTGTTATCCCAAGACATAAAGTTGACAAGTTGCAATGCAAGGATGCAGGATGGGCAGGTGCTCGGGTCTTAACACAGCGCTTTGTAAATGTCGGGTTTAAAGCCATTCATGTCCAAAATCGAGGGCAAAAACTATTTACTATTAAATATTTGTCGTAAATCGAGTTTCCTTCAAATTTAATGAAATTATTACATGTTTATTGCTTTCTGATCTAGACAATTCGATTTGCCTTTCTATTGAATTGGTTCACATGAAAATCGCATTGAAATTAATCGATACAAAAAATTGTAATTTGTGATTTCAGCGGTAACGAGGGTTGATATTTAAAAGTGATATAAGCCCATTTACCCGATGATTTACCAAGGATGGATGGTCCTTATTTCCTCTCTATTTCTGGTTATATACTCGATGGGTGGAACGCCCTTTTTGAAGTCCCGATACACTTTACGCCAGAACGGCGGATTGAGGCCCAAGAACTTCTGCGTGAATTTCTCCAGGATTTTTACCCTTCCCTTTGCAAGTAGATGGGTCGATATTAATGTAGAATTACATAGTACAATTCATGTTTATATTGGTATATATTTTCAGGTTAGATATAACCCTAATGCGTATCCTAGAGTGGCCTGGGGAGTGCTTCAACGTGGGCCGCCTGCAGCAGTATTTCCCAGAGCTACGACAGCTGGAGTACATTAACTGCACCAATCTGCGAAATTTCAAAGGCCGCTTCGACGCTAACTGCAAGATTGAGGTATTTGTTATAATATAATAATTAATTAATAAATAATAATTGAACGGCCTCCATGGTACAACGTTCCCACGTTGGGCTGTCATCAGAGGTTTCGAGTTCAATTTCCAGGCAGGGAGAAATGTTTTTGCCCGTGTGTGTCCATCGCACCCGCGATACAGGGATTCCCTAGTGCGAGCTATGAGTGTGTGCGTTAAAAAAATAACATAATACTATAACATAATAAGACTGCAGTACTAATTAATATGTTTTAGTTTATTCTAATTTCTATTAATAATTAATAATAAATTAAACTTAATAAAAATTCATTCAATAAAATAATTTGTAAAACTTAATGTAGCGTAAATTGGAATGTTTTCTTTGTAAAATTAAAAATAAGGTATTTAATTAATAACTATTGTAACTATAGTGAAAAAATAGGGTGGTTTGCATTAATATTAGACTTAACTGGTTGAAGACTGTACCACCTCAGTCAACCGTGACCATGGGACCTGTAAAGGGCCCGAAACGTCGGTCGGTTTGTTTGAAAAAACAAATATACGCGATTTAAATCCGGAAAAATAGTTTCATTTCCTAAACATAATACTGTTAAAGTTCTTTTTTTCAATATTTGGTTTTAACATATGAGAAAGCCGTACGCAGAAGTATTGAGGCTCGTAAAAAAAACATGTATCGCGTGCATTGACTTACAAATAAATGGACGACGGGTCTAATAGAAAAACCACGAAAAAAATGTCCCAAGTCAACCTATTCGAAATTTAAATTGTAATGTCATCGCAGTATCGCGCTGTCAGTCGAACAAATGAAGACTAAAGCGGAGTTTGGCGCTCTGTATACGATTTTAGCGCCTTATAAGTGCGGACACTTTTTAGCGCGGACCCGACGTCCATATAATTGTAAGTCAATGATCGCGTGTAATTATTTCATTAATATAAAGTGTCACACGAGTTATATTCGGTTCAAAAAATACAGAACAAATTTTTTTTAAATTAAACTTTTTGCATGCGTGTCCAAAATACCACTACGTCCTAATTTTTCTCCGATACCTATACAAAATTTGCACTTTATTGTAAATATTTACACTTTTAATTGTTTTTGGCAAACGAGTGCTAAATTACTCATTTGACATGTAGAATAATCGAGGATTTAACAACGATAAGAACACAACCAAAGATTTCCATTATGCTCGTTTCCAGGAGTGGTAATATCTAAATATGGTCATTATCAGAAGTGATAATTTCAGAAGTGGTCATGTCTAGAAGATGTTATTTTCAGACATGTTTTCAGAAGTAGACATTTAAGTATAATAGTAATGTAAAACGTAATTGTGAACAATAGATGACTAAAGGAACTTGTCTAATTCAACCCCGTTTAATTTCAAAGTTCATAACATATTTTGTCGGGTTTAATTGTTTGCATTGGGTTTTACAAAAATTTAATTTATTGTATATTACATCGTCTACTTATAATGTAATATATAAATATGTTACTGTTCAGGTATTGCTGTACATTTAATGTTGAGTAATTGCGAGATAAACAAATATAATAAAAAATGTTTAGTATTAATTCGGAAAATACATTTCTATCTATTTTATTTTTGTAAATGTGGCATAGTTTCGTTGTTACAAAAAGCTGTCAAAGTTTATTTTCGACATAAATTGCGTCGCATGCAGAAAAAAAATTATATACGACTTTAATAGGGTGGAAAATAGTTTATGGGAAACGAATTCGTACTGTAATCCTGTAGGGATAGAAGATAAGACGCGACTTGAGCGAGAGCGACATAAATTGCGTGAACTCTATGCGACAATAGCGGTATTTCGCGCTTGTAACAGAGTCCAGAGGGGGCGTGACAAAGGGGGTCCAGTCGACAGTGAAGGAAAAAACGCTTAGTAAAGTTTAAGTGAAACTTTTAATAAAGTTTAAGTTTAAAGTACAGAAGGGCGTAACGGGAGGTCCGGTAGGTGCTCGTACACAACCCGATCGCAGTCAATAGTTCAATGTGGTCCAGTAGGAGCCGTACACACATTGAATTCAGAATTAACAAATAGATACTTTGCTCATCTACTTATGGTGCCGAGGGAAAATCTTAACATCGCGTTTTAGGAAATAGCCTTAAAGTGGTCAATGCCATCTAGCGGCGTCGCGTGGAACTAACGCTCCGTTACACGCTTCATTTTATTTATTTTTATATTTTATTTAGACATTTATTTCAGGCCACATGACCCATTTAATATATACCTAAGGACCAACATACATATAATATAATATGACAATAAAATAAACTAAACAACTAATCTACACGTATTGCACTTGTTGGCGACGTGTGGCGCAATCTGGTGTCAGGTAACCGGCCGCGGAATCGCCGATATATGACATCCTTCGGCCAAAACTCTTCCTTCATGAAGGTCGGCACTCTCTCCACAAACGAATTAAAATTTACGATGTGGCGGGACTCCAACCGCTCGACCCGAGGGTGTATTTGGCTTTTTGCTTGATGTACTCCACTATCTCCTCAGACTTCGTGGAGTGATGTAGTCGCGACAGGTACAGCAGCGTCGTCGCTGTTGCCGAATGGCGCAAAAGTTCGATCCTGTCGGTGCTGTGCCACACAGGTTACGGCTGGCGAACTTCCTCTTCCTCTTCGCCACCTTTGTGAAGCCGTCCTCGTGGCATTGATCCGTCTGCCTCTGTGGTTTTGCAACTTTGGAAACAGGCACACGGGGATTGCTTTTACTCTTAGCCGATTGCTGCCTCTCGAGTTCTAAAGTGGCGGGTCAGCTGGTAGAAGCGACTACAGCGGCGTATGCACGTGCAGGGGTGCTTTATGTTGCTCTCGTGCTATTCGCGCCCTATTGTGCTAGCCCCACTGAGCCTCAGGCGAGGGGCTTTTAAGTGTCACAACTTTGCAGTGATATGGAGGGATCTGTAGGTATCGATTAATCGATTAACTGGAATAATCGATGTTTTTATGGAATAATCGATGTGTTTAATCGATGTCATCTAGTTCGGTTAATCGGAAAATCGAATATTCTATACTGATTTTTGCTCAAAAATATAAAACTATTTTTCAAAAAATATCTTTTAAACATGTTAAAATTTGGAAAAAAAACAATCGCTTTTAAATCCAAATGTTCATTTTATTTAGTCGATTATCGAAGAATGAGGCTTGCGCGCAATACCGTGGCATCAGAAAGATGGTTTACATAAGCTAATCATAAAATTTGTCTCCACCGCCTTTGAAAAATTTATAATTAATATTGGTGTCTATACTACTATATTGACGTAATTTGTGTAATTTGAAAAGAGGGTTATGTTACGAGGTTCCTATGCATGCTGCCTGAGTCGCCACCTGTGTATTCGAGGTTACTCTAGAAACCCTGGTACTATTAGCTTAGACTTAATGGCGTTTTGTCTAACTCTCTCTATACCTATTTAGTTTTTTTAACTTTAGAAATCAGGTAAACAAAGAAGCAGGGTTTGTAAACCGTAAGAGATGAAAGTGACGTTGTAAAATTTGACTTCTACGCGATTTAAATTCGGAAAAATAGTTTCATTTCCTATAAGTGATATCTATATCACTATCGCAACATATTCACTATATACCTTTTTTCAAAATTAGTGACACTCTGTTCCTATTACGTTTCGCTTTGCATGGACAACATGATGGAAGAAAAAAAGCAAAATGTTTAAAAATGAGCAATCTACTTTCTTTTATCAGACTAATACAATTTCCCTTACCGGGATATTGAAAAAAGGAACCATTGTCATGTTTTGTTTTATACATAAGGAGATAAATTCGAGCCACCCCTTGTAAAGCGTAAATTTTATAATTAAAAGGATATTATTTTACAGCTCTATAAATTGAAGTGTAAATCAAAACGACACAACAGTTAAGTAAGTACGTGGTTGTAAATTCAAATTATAAGAGTTAAATGTAATAATGAATAGGCATGGAAATTTGTATTCTGGTGTATTCGAAAATCCTAAAATTGCCGAGAGATCTTAAGAAAATAGTAGTTCTGTATGTAATTCAATGCAAAATGTGGCGTGGAAATCTATAATACCAAGCGCATTATTATTAGAAAGAAAAATTATTGAAAGAACAATAAATCTTCCGCAATAATTTTATGTAAATGCCAGGGTTTTGTTATTACGTAGAATACGAAGGGTTTGTTTGTAATTGAAACCCAATTAAAATGCGGACACTCGAACACATTTAGCGTTGTTTTTTTAATGAACAAACAGTCATAATAAATTTTGTATTAATTTTTAATATAATAATAAGTGAGAGACGAACAGGCGTGTACGACTTCGTGGGCCTTGTGGTAAGCGACACGCCTATTCATAACAGTTGCAGTGCCACTAGATTAGAGCTTTGATCGCAAAGATCTGAGACGGACTGCCACTTCACCCGTTGTCTTGAGACATAAAGGCTCAATTTATACTGCGGCAGAATGGAAGTGAATTTTTGTAACGACATTGTAAGTACATAGCATAATTAAATTTATAGTCAATTGTGTAACGTACAAACTAGATACGAGCTAAAATCTTTTGCGGAATTCTCGCACATGCTTCCGACCATGCTATGTACAATATCGTTACAAAAATTCGCTTCCATTCCGTTCCGCCGCAATATAAAAGGAGGCAAAGTTGACTAAAATAGTAACAGTGAACTAAAATATGAAGTCTCAGTTTCACCAGAGCGCCTTTACTTTGAAGTAATTGCTCACATCAATGTTTGGACGTAGAAATAGGTATGGTGGCAGTACTTCCTTTTTTAACGTCAGGAAATGTTCATGGATACCCTCCGCCCACATGAGACGAGAGTTATGTTAGACTCTTATCGAATAAAACCTGATGGTGTTCTCTCTCCTTACTATATGTTGGCGACACGCGGGCGCTTTTGCAATCTTTCACGACTCCTGCCGGTAAGCGGGTTGATTGGGTGTCAAACCCCATCTCGCTTTCCGGAGAGACTTGTTGCCTGCCGGTCAACCGTC